AAAATTTCCCCCCCCCCCCCCCCCACTATGACGCCTCATTTTTAGCACCTGTTTTTTGAAAACAAAAAAGGTGCGCATGGTATTCGCGTTGATACGGTACACTATTTGGTCATTTCCTGAGCTCGGAAATCGATGAAATCGTTGGATTTAATGTAGTGTAATTCAATTACAAACCGTCCATACTTGTATGCTGTGTTCTTTCCTCCGCAGCAGTCGTTTGCCCGTTTAAATATGTTTTTTTTTTTAGGCACGTTGCAGGGCACGCTTACACTGTACAAGCGGTCAAAAACGGGTTCACGGAGCTGCGTCTACAACTTTTCAAGAATTCAACTTTGAAACCCTTATTCGAAATTTGGCACGAGCATAAAAACCCAGCAGTACGTCAAATAGCTCATTCGATGGAAGCTACTCTGGTTGCTGTTGATCTCCAGCTGCGTCACTTGGAAAAGTGCTACAAGGAAGGCGGCTGGAAAGCGGCCTTCGAGTATCTTCGTATTCTATTACCGAAAATGCCAAACCTGATTCAAGGTTCCAAAGTCTGCAGACTGAAGTTCAGTGGATTAGATGTAATCGACATGGCAGAGTTGAATGATAAGGATGATTCGAGTGAAGAGGAAGAGTTGAATGGAGGACATGGTGATTGTGGTCAAGAGAAACGCGGAGTGAAGTTCCGAGTGAAACTCGAACCATCGCGCGATGGATCCGGTTTTACGTGGCGAGAGCTTAAAACCATTTTGCTGTTCTATCTGAAGTGTCACGAAGTCAAATACGTGCCGACTATCGATGACGTGGGGGAATTCATTACGAAATGAATCCGACCCACCGTATGGAAAATTATCTAAATACCTGATCCTTCTACGTTGACTTGACTATCCAATCTTTGGAAGCTTCTCTTATTCTTGGACTTCGACGAAAATACTTCGTTTCTGATGTGGAAAGATACGGTGAAGTGCGAAATTTTGATGCTTTTTGCATTTCGGCGCTTTGAATCGAGTGTGATGCACTTTCTAAGTCAAACAGAAGGAATGAAAATTAAGATGGGTTCTCTATATATGCTTGTTTCTCCTCAATTTATTAGATGCACTTTCAGATTTACAAGAAAGTGTGAGGTCTTCGCTGATCGGGAAAGTGGCATGCGGAAAAATTTGGAACTTTTGAAAAATGAATGCTGCTGCGTGCAGCTGAGCGGGTTTATATGATTGACATAAAGTCATTTTTATGATTGTTTTTGGGAGGCGGTTTTATGTCAACGACAACGAGGAACATAAAATTGTCCCGGAAAAATGGAAATGTCTCATTCCTGATCATATTTCCAGCGAAGAAAAAATATTATTCTGGCGATTGTCCCATATACTGTATCTACTCAAGTACCAGCACGCGCCCTTGAGTAAGACACGCAGCATAGTTTTTTTTTAGCTCATATTTTGGTGAAAATTCCAGTGTCCCGTATACTGAGGTTGGGATTGCAAAAAAGGCACGAACTCTTATACTGTACTTCTGAGGAAATCACAAAGTACATTGAAAGCAGAAAGAAAAATTCGCATGGCTTTGTATATGCTATATAACCAATATGTACCGTCCAAGATGTATACCCGATATGTATTCTAGAAATATCGTAGAAATTAGACAAATTTCTTGGCACAATTTATGAGGGTCTTCTGTTCAGCAAAAAATAATTGCCCCAATAATGAGAAGTGTGTGGCTATTGTACGAAATGTATTTTTCGGTGAAACTTGACATTTCTCGGAATCAAGTAAGAAAACATGTTTCTCCTCTTCTGGGCCTTGTAAAAATTTCGAAAAAATAAATTAACGTCATAAGAGCGAAACTTGAGACGTCGCACAAGATAGTTCATTCATCGTAATTTCAATTTAATGAACAGAATCGTTCAAAATTCTCGGACTCAATTCAATGGTTTTTTCGTATTTGCTGAAAGCGGCGCGAAAGCGTGAAGGTGAAGCATTTACAGTATGTGTTTGCTGAATGAAGTACGGTCGAGGTTAACTTCGAATGTGGGCGGCACAATTTTCTGTATTGATATTTTGACCATAGCAACGGCGAAGAGTTCGGGAACTCTGACTGTACACGTTTAGCTGCCATAGTCAACTGACTTGACGAGGAAAACTTTCTCGCTAGCCGTACAATATTTTTCGCACTCAATTCCTGCCTGATTAAGTACCAAATTTGTGATCACTTTTCGTATTGCAGCAGAACCGTATAGTCCCTAGTTTCTTCCGGAAAGTTCCAAACTTGATCGATACCCTTGAGTGCTGATTTTAGGGACTTCAAGGCTTTTATGCAGCAAATGGACTTATTCAGGATAGTGTCTGTGCTGACGGTAACTTTTGCTCCTTTTCATTGATCAAATTGAAAATCATTCGTATAATTGCGTTTCTTTTATTCTTGAACAGAGGGGAATAGCAATGGTCGGAGCTATTAGCAGGCGAGGTGTTGATGGATTACCTACTTTTACTCACGGTACGTTGCAAGGTTTTTATCGTGATATAATGTGACTGAAGCAGGAAGGCTTTTTGAAATCTTCCAGAGCAACATTCCATCCATTGTTTGATAGACGACGTTTCCTATCCTTACTTCATTTCATCTGCTGGAAATTACGATCCTGAAAAACTTTCCGTGGAAATTTGCTCCTCGACGTGTCGTTTGCTCAACTTTGAATTTGCCGGGATCGCAAGTGGGAAATTCTGCTTATGCACAAACGATTCTGGATTTGGTAGGTAATTTTTTTATAACGATTCTTTATTCAGTTCACTTTTTGTTTTCTCCGTCCTCGTGCATGAATTAACACAATAGACAATTTGTGTCTAATATGATAACCTCGAGTGCGTAATTTTTTGGAGCATTACGCTACATTTTCAGACAGCAACTTGACAGCTTCTACATATACAGTAGTACTTTATATATGCAGATGTACTCTCTCTACAACAAACTTGTCAATGCTTTTCTCTGTATTAACATGTTTTGGTTCCATAGGGGCATAGGCATATGGTTCTCTCCCCATCTTGCAGGAGTTCTCTATAACGAAATTCTCTCTGAAAGGAATGTTTTTATGTCCCTTCGAATTTTTTAGTAGAAAGAGAGTCCACCTTTTCATTTGTATTCAGTGCAATATATTCACAGTATTTTCCAAAATTGTTGCCTCAAATCACTCAGTTTCAATACTCATGTTGAAGGTTTGCTCAACCTCAGCTCGCATTTATGATACATGTAGTATGAAAACCAACATGTTGAGCGTTTCTCTGAATTTTTCCAGGATTTTAAAACGATGTTTCATTACATTCCATGCTGTTGAATCGAAACTGTATAGTGACAGGAATTGTAAAGCATTTCGTCTGCAGCATGATATTCATTTTAAAATGTCACTCTCAGCTAGGAAAATGCGCTGTCAATAAAATATTTTTTCTGATTTTTAGATGATTTAAGAAAATTTTCATGTCAAATTTTAGTAATTCTGCATGTAGTTGAACAATAACTTTTCCATGAAGGCCGAAGTGTACGTTGAGCTGGACCTCTGTATATGGTGGCAACCGCTCTGGGTGCAGATCACTGGTGTGAAATCCAAGAAAACTCCGCTCCCTGCCGAGCGGGGGAAAAAAAATCACCCGTGTGTCGTAAGACTTGGTTTTGCCAGATCACAATTTTTTTTACAGTAAACATAATTTTGCTCTAATCCTTTCAAGTAAAAATAAAATTGCGTGTTACGTACTGAATCGAAAAAATGACAGTTTTATCATGTATCCCATTGCAAAATACAGTACACAGTTACAGCGAATGTTTTATGAAATCTGCCATCCTCCCGTAATACTGTACTTTATTCCTCGACAAAAGATCCTCTCAATAAGGTTTTTGTGAATCTTGGAAATACAGTAATAATTTTCCTCTCGTCTACCTTCAATTGACCATAGGAAATACATTAAGGAAGTTGCAGCATATCTACCCAAGGTGGATGCACTGTTGAAAATAGGGCGGAGTTTACCTATTAGACCATGAAATCATAAGTTTTGGGGAAGAATAAAAGGTAAGGTGTGCATTGGGGATCAAATTTCCAGCACTGATCCATTATACGTACAGCAGTTTTTGCAATTGTCCATCTGAACGACTCAATATTTAGTCTATGCAGCACAGTAAAACCACTCAAGTTTTAACCAAAGCCCACATAGAATAGACTAACTGCAGTCACTGGAATTTTATGGACTTGTGAGACGAGGTCGTAGATTTGGAAACGCTGGTCAATCTTTCAGTTTATTTTTGCAAATCCAAAGTTTGTATTTTTTTGGTTTCACCAAAACCTGTATATATGTAATCGAACCATCATATTGAGAGTTATGATCACTAATTCTATCCTTACTTGGATTCGTATGATGGATTCATTGTCAAGACAAGGTCCATCTTTTAGGTTGCTCTTGTCTTTCTCAACAACGAAAGTAGGATCTGCAAGAATTGTCAGGAAAGTCTGTTCGTTATTTAGTCTTAGTTATCAGTCGAAAACTGCCTAGGATCGGTATAAAAAATCTACTCAAGTATAAGCATTCCGTCATCCGTTCTGGGGAATCCAAACGGAAATTCAAAAATGGAAATTGCTTGCTTGATTTTTGAACGGTATTATTTTAAGCTCGTTGTCTGTTGTGACTTATTGTGAGTGTTGTTTTCTTTCATTTTGCAGGAAAACTTGAGAACAAAACGACATGTACTTTGAATTGCCCGACTGGGCTGATCGCTCCGTGTGGGGGATCAAAGGGGGAAATCTCGGTTTACAAAGCTGCTCTATCCGCGCATTATGATCCGCAAGCAGCCTTTAAACGAAGGCGTTTCAGCGAGAATTCAGCTGCTGTTTCGTCTAAGAATGACGAATATTCTGACATTGGCCTAGAGATTGAACTTCTGAAAGCTCAATTGTTCCCGAATAACGTGGGTCACGGTACATTCACGCCATATTCGGCTCGTGATGAGCTTTGAAACTCTTTTCTATTCTCGGCATTTTTTGCATGTTCGTCATGTGGCGCGGAAAAGATTGTCTTTTGCTTATTTGCAGTGATGTACGTTTAACCGATTTGCAATTGTGCGTGATTTCCGCTTGTATATTGAGTAAATTGCATATTCATCCGGAGGGTTATTACTTATTCGTCGTGCCATTAATTGCTTTTCAAGAGTCGATGAAAATCAGTGGCGTTCAATGCTCTAAATTATCCGAGGTATCAGTCATTTAAAAATCACTCTTTCAGGTTTCCATCAAATCTATTTCTCCGTGTTGTCTTTCCTTCTGCTGTGGAGCCAGAGCATTTGAACGAAATTTGGCAACCGAGAGCAAAGAAATCGAAGAAGAACCCGAACGATCTGTCCTGCCCAACTGGCAACATCTATTGTGATGGGCAAACCTAAAGCTGTGCTGTCAACACTCATCCAACACAGCAAAATTCTTCATAAAATATGGAAATTGATAGTCGAAAGAGAAAGTGGACCAAGAAAGATCTTTCTGATCAAGCAAATGGATGTCCTCATATATGAGGACTCATCCTGTGATTTTCGTCGTGGAGAATCCCAGGAATTTGTTGTACAGTACTGTAATTATATTCAAAGCTTTATGGAAAACTTTTCAATGGCAAACTTATTTTCACGTGACTCTAAATTTCCCCTTCTCATTGGAAAGTTACGAATTCGATGAAGTTATACTGTATGTGCATTGAATCACAAGTATTGCTGAGGTCAGGAAAAGGCAGAATTTTCTCTGAAGGGAGGAGCTTTTCACTGTAAAATGAAAAAATCCTGTAATGTGGCAATTTTCTCAGCATTTGAATGATCAAACCACAGGATGATCATGAAGGCTTCTGAAAACGAAGGGTGTTTAATCAAAGCTCAGAAACTCATTTTACTCGAATAAAAGATAAATTTGCAGACATGCTGAAGGTGAGATCACGGATGGCAGCCTCAGCAAACTTCTCACTGCTGCGGTGCCTCATGCAACAAACCTGAATTCCAAGGATGGATATAGGAATTGCATTTTATGAATTTTTAATTTTAAATTCAGTATGTGAGGAAATGAAAATTATGCGTTATCATTAAAAAATGTGGTGTCAGCTTTCATGGTGCTTAGCACACAATTTGAAAGTAATCTTCTGCTCTCGAAGGTAGATATACAGTAAAATGAAAACTCAATAAAAATCACATGGAAAACAATTTAGAATACAGTACTTTAGTAAGGGAAAGCAACTCATAGTTCGATTAATAAAATTTTTTTTTTATATTTTTGGTGCAGAAATTGATCTACCATAATTTTTCACTGGAAGGTATAGATTTCATTGTACTGTGCGTGAACACCTTTGTTGCATCAATATTCCTTAGATGAAAAGCAGTTAGGTTTCTGGAGCGGGCTGTTTGTTTTGTACATCCTATATTGTATGGATCACAGCTGTGTATTTCCAATTTATTGAAATAAGAAAAAAAAGTAGATGCAAAATTTAATTTTTTTTCCGTGACCAGCATAAGTTAGGAAAACCACACCAGTATTCGCAGTGTGCGTCGTCAGTCACATAATGAGGGGATTTACGCAATGCTCAAATTTGGGAAAAACAAGCAACATTCAACAAGTGTCTGGATGCACAGCAGTTCTGTGACTTTTGTCTAAGGAAAATGAAAAATGACAATGACTCAAATTACCGAGAAATTATCCACTGCCTTGTTTACATCCAATGGCACTCAAAATGAAGATCAGGAAAAATAATGGACATTGTCTGAACCATTTACTTCATGTAAAATAATGATCTTTCCAAAACGAGAGGGCTTTTGTTTTTGGCATCAATTACAATATAATGACAATTCTCACCTTCTTGATGCATCAACTTCATCATGCCTGGGCTTGAAATTTTAAAATTACGTGAGACTCTGATATGCAGACACCCCAACATATTGACAATTTGACTTAGGGACACTTGAAAAACCAAAAAATTAGGCCCAACATCCAGACATAGGTTCACGTTAGGGACATTTTTCTGAAATTTTCCCGAAAATTGAAGCATTTTATTTTTAAATTTTGATATCTTTTGAAGAAATCAAGCTACAGTATTTATATTCATAAAACTTGAAAAAATATTTTATGACACATTCAGAAATTCACTATAATTCATAATCAAAAACAAAGGTGATTGTGTGCTTCTTTTTTTAGAGTTTTTTTCTATCATCTGTGCATACTCGAGCACGACTTGTTCTTTCTCTTTGCCTTTGAACTCCTTTTTTATACCAGAAGATCAGATTGATTCTCGGTGGTTTTGTTCTGCACTGTTATTGTTTTCTGTAACTTGAAGTTGAGAGAAACACTTTTTATTTAATTTTTTTTGAGAACTTATATCTATTTTTTTTCAAAAAGGAGAACAAATTACAGTAAATACATTAGCATTGAACTCAAAGGGAAAATGAGACTTGAGTCACTTGACTCAGGGACATTCAAACATCAGGACACTCGTCTTGATGTACCAATTAAGCCCGCATCTCAGAGTCTCACTGTATATCACAGATGAGTTCAAGCCCAAAAGCATTTACCTAACATCACTGAATTTAAATTTTAAAATAAGTATTGACAACAGTGGGAATGTTTTCAAGAATCTACTCCCTGAACCAAACTCAACTTATGGTCAATAACATAAGCAGTACAGCATGTAGCATGTTTTGTAATGGAGCTATTCAGTCCTCGAAATTCCCAGCAGGTCAGTTTATTTATTATACAATTTTCAATACCTCCTGAAACTTAAAATTCAAACCATGCTACTTAATATTAGAGATCATGACTTTCCTCAGATTTACGCCCCATGAAAAGATCAGTGATGAAACCTTCAGAGGTCATCAACCTATGGTGCGCTTGCGTGTTCGGCTCGCGGAATTGTCAACGTATGTCATATTTGTGATGCATTTTTTTCCTGAAGGCAAGTCACTTCGTTTAATCCAGTATGGGTTACTCACTGCATTGTTAGTTGAATTGAGTGCTGCTGCCGAGAGACCCCCCGCACTGCGTAAGAATTTCGTCGTGATGCTATTATTTTTCACGTGCCGATCCAGGCCTTGCTCTTGTTTAGATTTTGTAATTTTGGTCATTTTTTCCTGCCTTTTTCATCTTGGAGAAAAATAATACGTGCATTTGTGTGGGTTGCTGTTCAAGTTTCAATTATGCGTATTCTATTCGTTGGACTTCTATGTGTATATAGTTAAAAGAAGTAACCCTTGAAAATTCTTTCGCGATTTTTTTGTGATGCGCATATCACATAGTGATAACTTGATCTGGGTTATTTCGAATTTGGTGAACATATTCTTAAAGATTTAAAAAAAAATCCAGAGTACATGTACATGTACATGAGGCATTACGATTTAATTCATTACAAAGCATTTTAAAAGTTCATATGTTCCCTTTTCTCTGTAATTCGTACTTGAAGTCATGAAGTGCGCCCCAAAGAAATGCCTCACCAAATTATTTACTTACATGCTTCTAGTAAAATGCACATCAGGGGACTTCAGCTTCAATAATCTTGATAAAATGTGTCCCCAAATAAGATCCACACTACATTTTAAAGACTCTAAAACTGCACTACTTGAAAAAAAACTGTTAAATTGTTAAATAATTGTTATTGTTGTTGTTTTTAATAATTGTTCTGATAATTGTTTATTACAATTATAACAGAATTAAGCTGTTTTTCTGTTGAACTTGGTCGAAAATATTCCATTATTATTGAGCATACTGTATTTACTCTAGTACCAGCATCTGCACATTTTTCTCTCAAAATTGAGATAAAAAGGGGAAGCATCATAGTCAGGGATAAAATTAAATGAATAAATAGGTTGGAAAATTTAGGTGTTCATCAGTCACCATCACAGCACATGAATCTAATGGCATTTTTTGCAAAAATTTTTTAACTCAAAAGCATTGAAGATCATCGAATTCAGGTTGAATTCATGTTAAAATTTGCATCCTGGTGACTCTGAGTTATCACTGTCACTAAAGTAAGAAATGATAATGGTAATGCACAGCTGAACTTCTAAAATATTTTGAAAATTCATAACCGCCTTTTTTCGTGCACCCCTTTTTATTCCTCTCAACTTTAAAAGGGGCGTGTGATACTCGAGTAAATATGCTATCCACATTTTTCTTCTGCCCCCCCCCCCAAATGACTTCGCTCATTGTTCTGATTCAATACCTATCACATTTTTTCTCGACTTTTCAAAAAACCTCAATCAAATTCCCGAACAAATTCAGAACTCTGTTTTCTGAAATTTCGTACTAAAAGTTCAGAATACCATTGGATTCATTTGAAAAACATGGAATATGTCAGGACTCTTCAAAATTTCCACGTCTCTAATGCCGACAGTTCTTCCGTTGGTTAGTTGTTATGGAATATTTTAGAAGCTTTGCTGTTGGACTAGGTGTTTTTGGAGCCAGGAGTCAGTCGATTCTGTTTGCCTGAGCAGCAGCGAATTTTTCGAAATTTTTTGCAGAGTGTTACATTTGCGATCCAGCTTGGATGCATACTGAAGACCGACCGATTCCATGTTCTCGGCAACTCGGTCATTTACAACCGTGTCCCCTGAAAGTGAAACACTGTTTTATTGCAATTGACGAGATCACAGGGAATATAGTGGAACGTGGATGCGTAGCTCCTGAAATTTTGAAAAAGGCTAATCCTTGGATTCCCGGATATACAGTTTCAATAAATTCCTGTTTCACCGGAATCTCACGCTCGAGAGTGCATTGCATTTGTACTTTTGATAAGTGTAATGATCAACGTCTGCCGCCAATTACAACCAAGGTTGCCCACGACACAGCTCAACAGGTACTTGAAAATTTTGATAAATGTTTGCCGGCTGGATTTTTTTCAAATTTTTAACCTGCGGAAATTCAGTACGATGTTCTAGCTTCAACTACGAAAAAATGATCCCTTGAACCCATTTAGGCAGTACAGTACTGATAAACCGGCAAGATGTAAAATTTAACCTTCAGATTATTCGGGTTAAGCTTGGTATTACTTGTTCAGTTTTATTGAAAGGAGCAAGTAAATATTCTAACATTGATTCACTGCCCTGATAATCTCCTCTCAGATGCCAATTAAACTCCGCAGACGATGTTAAAATTTTCTACATCATCTTATGCATATTTGTTGCCACTATGTTAACATTGTATGTTTTGATGAAAATTAACAAGCTCATTTCTGTATGAGTTCCACATCATATGGACGAGTGACAACAAACTGAACTTCCTTTAATTCTGATGTGTCAAATTCAGATAATTTCAAATGAGCTGAACCCCATACTCAACTTCTCTAAGCACTTGAACACTATATTTGTGTAATAGGAAAACCAAGCTATTCCACCTGCACATAATGTGGTAAGCAATGGAATTTAATTTACAGGGTGGTCCAGACCAGTGTTCCCAAACCCGCAGTCTGTGGACTGGCGCTGGTCCACAGAAGTTTTTGCTAGCTAGTCAATGATAATTTTTCTGCAGCATAATAAATTGAGAAAAGAAGCAATGAAGTCTATTATCTTCATCTGAAACCTTGGATAAATGAATGATTCTTGAAATTATCTAAAGAAAACATACTTGCAAGTTGGCCTTTTTCTTGATTACACTTCAGACAAACTTACACATGCTGGAATATTTTTTTTTCAGTTTCAAAAACCTTCCTAATTTTTTGAAAACATCCCAATAATAAGCATGCTTCATTGGGTCTTAATTTTTGCAAATCAGCAGAAAATTTCAATGCCTGCTGCCATAAAGTTTTCAAGCAGAACGTTGTGGCATTAAAAAAGTTTAAAGAACTTTGCTGGTCTGCAGAACATTTTTGGGAACTTTGCGAGTCTGCAAAAAAATGTCAAGGCAATTCGCAGGTCTGTGGGCTTAAAAAGGTTGGGAATACTGGCACAGCCTATTTCAAATCAATATTTGAACTTCATTAAATGTGACTGTTGGCTGAATCCCAACGTTTTTTGTCTCAAATTAACCATTATTGATTTCCCTTATCGTTCTTAATTTACAAATACATGAAGAATTTTATCTCGGCCAGAAAATTTCTATAATCAAATTGACGTTGCTTAAAAATGCAAAAACATGTCTCAGAAAAAGGCATATGATTGGAAGTTTCAGTTAAACGGAATTGTGTGCTACGCTACCCATTCAAAATTTTCAAAAAATTATTCAGTAAAAAGTGTTAGCACTGCTGGTGGTAGTCAGAACCATACACCTGTATTTACAAAAAAATTTCTAAATAAGTGTGATATTGAAATTGTATTCTCAGCAAGTTGGTGACTTCTAAATAGCAACTTCTACTGCAATGGTGGATGCAATCTCAGAATGTCAATGGGTTCTAAATGTTGTGTGCATGTTATACATAGTGGACCAGAAAGTGTATCCATTTTTGATCAAAAATAGCGCTGTAGCATATTGAGCTGTGGCAATGAAAACCCGCCATATTAAAGCTTGTTCAATTTCCTTTCAAATGCTATTATTTTTATTGTTGCAAGTTCCATGACATGGTCACAAAAACTATTTGAATGAAAACGTTTCAAAAAATGTTAGGCAACTGCTTGCTCAAAGCTGTTCTCCAGCATTGCTGTTTTCAAGGATAAGTTGGACAAAGGACCAGTAACTTAAGCAGCAAACTTCATGCTGCTTTCAAGCATACTGTATTCCCCAAAATTCAGGAATCGAGGTGAGATGTGAAAAATTGAGCAGTGGGATGCTGCTTCACTCCAGATTCCCAAAATATGCAAGCTTTCCAGGTGCAAGCCTCATGGATAATGTGACACCTTGCATGCAAATTTGTTTTTATCATTGCAACAGCTCAATATGCTACCAAGCCATTTTGAGTGTATTGGTTCATATTTGTGGTCCGCCCTGTATATTTTATTTATTTCATTGCTTATGTTCTCTTTTCACAGTTCATCCCTCTTTGAGGAGCCATGGAACAAACCCAGGTCGCATTGCAGTTCATGATTTTTCTTCTTCACCTTCGGGGCACGCGACCCATCTCTATCGATAATTTCAACTTCGTGAAGAATGTTCCGGGTGTATCACCAGGTGTCCCTCTTTTTAATGCCACTCAGTACGTTGCACAAAGAGGGGATGGCGGGCATATTTATACCAGTAAGACTCATTACTGTACTGCACTTCTGCGCAGCAATTGAGTTCATCCATGTTTCTGCATTCTGATGCCATTTGTTTTCTCAGCATGTTTGTTTGGAAAACAGTGTCAGGAAGAGGGTCAAATTTGCATCAGACCAATTTGCCTCTGTCAGAGAGGCTGGGAACCAGTACCAGGAAGCACCGCTTGCCGCCAATTAATGTCAGCTGAGAAGAAAAATGCCCGAAGTGAAGTGCTGATTTCAGGTTTGCAGACCTTTCCGAAACTACGTAGAAGTAATAGGTTTTGTAAACTCGAATCAGTATAACGTTCTCTACTTGAAAATAATGAGATGAATCCAAATAATATTGATTGAAGTTCGAATCTTTCCACCAAAAATATCATCTGAAAAAAACCACTTGTAAGAAAATGAAAGGACGAAATATAAATCGACAATGCATGAATAACAGTTTTAAATTACTGTACTTTCGGCTTGATTAACTGATAGTATACTGTGCAGTATTGTTGGAATGACATGAAAATACTGTACAATATTTATGTGCTTTTTCAATGCCTAATTTTTAAAAATTGCATTAGACTTCTTCTCGTATTCGATGACATCTTGGACTCGCCGGTGAATATAATGGCAAAATAAATTATGCTTAAAACTGCATCTATTTTTAAACTTGGAATAGTCGAAAAATCAGTCAAGCACATGTTCGCGACGAATTTTCATTCAAGAAGGAAAAAGGTCCGGGTTTGATCCAAGTTCCTACATTCGCAAGAAAAATATGTGTTCCGAAGAAATTAAAAGAAAGTTAAGTGCGTCTTATACTGGTATATCTGCAGGCTAATTTTTGTGAAACTTTTGAAAGAGTACCTCATTAAGCTTGGTATTTTGTAAATATTATTGGGTGTGAACTTAATAAAAATGGGATATTTCTTGAAAACTGATCGAATTTATTATTTTAAAAAGAATTCGGGACAGTTTCCGAACTGCTTTCAAAAGTGCGAAACTATCCATGAAAAATAAACTTCAATGAAGAAATTATGCAATGTTGAGACTACATTACCAAATTTCAACCAAAAATGAGCTGAAATTTACATCCGGCTTATTTTTGAAATGTCGCACAGGACTCGTCTATCTTCAATGTGACCAAATTATTATAGCTAGCTGAGCTACCTCATTCTCAGAAAATTTGCAATTAATTTGCAGAAGTGCCACTTTTTGTTTTCTTTGAACCAATGAAGCCCGTTTTGCTCAAATTGTTTTTGACTCGCGGTATTCTAAAAGGCGTTGTTCTTGGACGTGTTCAATTCTGTCATTCGTCACCATCATCTTAATTTACATAAATGTTTTTGGCAGGTTTCAATGCCAATCTTTCTCGCGAACTTCAAAAAGAATCCGAAAATGATTGCGAACATACGTGTCATGGATCTGCCGAAAAAGTGTCTTGCGTCGATGGGAAGTGTGTGTGTGCGACCAGAGGTGAACGTTATCACGCGACCCAACGCTTATGTCTTCGTGAGCATATAACAGCTTTTTGTGTGGCAATTTTTAGAAATTTTCAAAATTAATACTTTCAATTCCGGTGAAGCGGAAGAAATTCATTGTTACGAGTGTGTGGCTGGAACTGATGCTACACACGATTGTTCAAGAACAGTTGGACTTTTGACGGTGTGTAATGCTGACACTGGCTGCTTCTTTGACGTGGATGGAAGCAAAGGTAAATAATCAAAATGCAATTGATCATGAGTTGTAAAAGAATTGTTTACACTTTATTTATGTACTGTATATATAAATTAGAATCTTGTCACAAATAACTCCGTGTGACTTGATGGTGAAAATCCGTTGCGTAAAAACTGTTACAAAGTACAGTATTGAAACTCAATTTTTTTCAACATGCTGCGTTGTGAGTTGTGACGGGCATTACATTTTTTCAACGCTCCCCGAACTTTTTTTCACGCAACTTTCAGGTCAATTAAACAATTAAGTATGCAGCGCTTTATGTTGAATGTTTCTCAAGTCTAAACCTGTATGCGGCGAAGTCCATAAAATATACCAGAATTTGCTCTATGTCCGCGAAAATCATTACACCGCGCACTAACTTTTAAAGCCAGGGGAAATCTCGATGATTTTTCTGAAAACCTGAAAGTTGTGTCTGAAAGATTTTGCAGAAAATTCAATTTTTATTCGACATTCCATCTTCATGATTCAGCAGGGATGCCTGTCCAAAATTTGAAATAGGAAGAGTGTTTGTTTATTCTGCAAGAAATTAACACCTCAGCCCTTTATGTGCAACTCATATGACATTTTTGCGACCCTCTGTCAAACCAAAACAGCTCAGCAATTGTGGAAATACAAACTTTACTTAAACAAAGTATATACAGGTGGTACCTTGCAAATTGACCTCCTGCAATTCAATGGTCCCACAATTCAATGGTTGAATTTGCAGGGAGGTTGACTTACGATTGAACCTTTGCCCTTCAATTTGACCTGCTTTTTTCAATTTTGTACTTATATGTTGAATTTGATGGAGTGTCTTGCAATTCAACAACTTTTCAATTTTATCCTACTTTGGTGATCGATTCGGGTTAAATTGTGAGGTACTACCTGTATATTGCATAAAAATTCTTGGCTGTTTAGTGATTATACTGTACCATACAGTTATCCTGGCATAAAAAAATGTTTCCTTATATCATACTGAGTTTGATTAATACTTACTTACTTACTTACTTACTTGTCTTGTGAAATAAACGACGAAAAGTCGATTCACAAGGTTCAATCAAGATTTCTAAATCCAAACCCCCTTTATTCCCACCCAACCCAAATCATTCAACAAATTAAATGCTTTCATCTGCCCAAAATAATGCCCAATTATATGAACTATTAACTGAAATTCCTATTTTGGAAAAAATTGAGCGACGTATGAAAAGAGGATGCTTTAGTATCATCTTTTTGCTTTTAAACCTTGTGAAATCTGTAAAGGTCACAGCACAACCTCATTATAGGAATTTTTAAATTCATCCTCAATCAATAAAATTCCCAATTAATGTAAAAAACTAGAGGAAAATCCGTTTCAATGATTAATTATAACTTTTGGTGAGTGCCATTAGGAATAATTGAAATCATGCACAATGTCAAGGGAAATAGCTTTTCGCATTGCTAAAATTCTGCATAAGAACCCACCCAGGAATGGATTTATTTATTTATTTGGGGACCCTTGCTGTAAATATCTTATGATTTATGGAGTATTTATAAAATGATTGCTTTTCTTTAAATGGACGCACTTTCTACTTTTTTTCAGGGGAAATTTTGTCCAGAGGCTGTTTAAACAACGAGGAATATCGCCCGGATCCAGCTTGTGCCCTGCGAACTCGCGTCTGCCAACGCCTGGAAACCTCTGCCAGGGCCAGCATGCGATGCACCTGTGCTGTGGATAAGTGCAACAGCATGCTGGCTGTATTGCCTTTCTTTTGATGGTGCATTTTTCTCCTTTTTTTCTGAACAGTGATGCATAGTACGTTTTTGATGAAATGCATTTTGGGATAGCCTGAGAAAAAAGAATACAAGTGGTACCTGTCAATTCGACTCTATTCCATTGCCAAACTATGGTCAAATTGCAAAATGCTCTAATATATTGCAAGACACTCCCTGCCATTCAAAAATTCAAGTACAAAAACGTGAAAAAATGGCCAAAGCTGATTGAATTGCTAGTCAACCTCCATTCAAATTTGACCATCAAATTGCAGGACGGTTGGATTTTGGGAGGTCAAATTTCAAGGTTACCAACTGTAACTCAATTTAGAGCCAGTTGCTGTGGTACACCATTGTTTTTAATGATAAGATAAAGAACTCTTGAAATACTTATGTTGTACCATAAAATTAAAGCCCTTGGATTATTTCATGATGATCCATTGGACAGAAGTTGAACAGGTGGTGCCCTGCCAAATTGTGAGGTACCACCCATATATGCATTTAAATTATTGTACAGAAGTGTGAATAGCAAAAATGATTCATCACCGAGTTTCGTGGAATTTACTCGAGTACATTCATTTGAAGAGGAAAAACATTTTTTCGAAAACCCATAGCACAAAACGATTTTGATTCTTAGGATAAAAAAAAAATTCTGTACCAAAATTGTATGGATTGGTTCAGATATTTTTTAAGCAAAGTTTGTGATCACGCGTTTGATTTTTTGGTTGGTATAAGTTATTGGAGTTGTTCAGAACACGATTATGATCAGGGCTTACTTAGTTGCTACAACAGGTGTATTTAAATGAATGTGTTAATCGACCGCACTGAAATTTTCCTCCAGAAACAATGTAAGAACCATTGATGGTCTCAGTACACTAAATTCTACTCAAGTGACATTTGAATGAAATAACTAAATCTTTTTCCCAAATTTATTCTTTAAAAGTGACTGCCACATTTTTTATTTCCTCTTTAAATCGATTAAATCGGGTAAATTTCGTAAATGTAGTTGACCAAATCATTTTTGTCATTCATAGTTCAACGATTTCAAAGCAGACCTCTTCTGTAGAATGGATTGTCAGGTTATAACCCTGGAGCTATTTTTTTTTCCGCGAAGCAGAAATGTACAACGAGACGTTTTATTGTAATCAATCAAAGCAATCGCCGTGTGCAAAAACTTCCTCAAAATACTGTTGCCGTAATGTTGCAATATACTGTAGACGACTGCTGCATGGAATACAGAACACACGACGTGATTGATTCAATGTGCACCTAATTTTATCGACCTCATGGATTCCTTCGGAAAGTTCCCTACTATTATTAATTTTTTATGTAAAGTACTGTATATGCGTAAGAACGTTGGCCAGATATGTTCACGATATTGTTTGCATTTATGTACTATTCACTTAAGCTCAACGGGGTACATAAAGAAAGAAGTCCTCATTTTACCTTCAAACGCAAGTTTTGTTGTATATTATTATGGATTGTTGACTCATCTGCAGCTCTTGTGATTTGGAGGATGATACAATTTTGGTCCATTTTTCTCAAGAAGGTGTCTGATGTAACCCGATGTCAACCAGTATTGAAAAGTTTCAAGTCCTCATCGATATTTTCTCTGTGGGGTCAATAGGGCCCAGAAATGAACATTCATTTTCAAAAGACCGATTCAAATGCAGGATTTTTAAAAACAATACAGGCTCTTGAAATGGTTCGAGGAACTCAAGTTATATACAATTGCGTACATGGAGATTTTCATATCATCGAGTCATCAAATAGGCATTTTTTGCTGTTTTGGGCATATATATGAACTATTGATGTCGCAAATTATCCCCGAATAATGTCTGAATTTTCCCTGAAGACTGTGTAATGTTTCGATTGCATTATAAATGTATATGCCTTTTTGATGACTATCATGCATGCTTTTAAGCTTTTAAGGAACCATCGTACTTGGACCTGTTTTCCTATACCAATTCCTCTGGGTCCCTATAGTACTCCTATAGCTCCATGAGGGTTTGCTCTGCAATTTTGAAAATCTTGAGCTTCCGGGCTTTTGCTTAGCTTATTTCGACTTTTTCTAAAAGTGGATCTCCTCGTTTCTGGATTTCTTTCAATTTCCACTCACAATGGTGAAATGAGTGATAAATAAAAGACCAAATTATAAAATTATTTTCCATCAATCTACTGCAGGATGAACCCAGTGGCAAGAAATGTATTTTGTTCCATGAATTTCCAGGTGGGTTATTGATGATTGATCAAATAGTTTTTAAAAAAGGAAGGAAATGTCTGAAATAAATACTGCACAGCAAACGTGAAAATCCCTTTTCCAGCGTCTGGAAAATGGAAAAGATGTTTAATTTTTGCCTTTCTTTGGGTTTTTGTAATTCTGAGTTTGATTGTACATTGCTTTGAAATTTAATTTACAGTGAGTAAGCTGAGCAAGTCATCCCGATAATTGCAAACAATTCCAGCACATGAGTGTACAACATATCTTTTTCTATTTTTGATGTAAATTTCATCGCAACGTTCAGGGTGAACTTCATTTTTGACCCAAAATGCGTTTGTTTGTACAGTATATATAAGATGATAGAATAAATTTCAGTGTTTTAGCCTGGCTTCAATTATTGTGGCTTTTTTTGTATGTGAAAGTTGTAGCTTACGTACTTATGACAGTGAATATCACGAAGGTGAATTTGATTGCTGATGTGAACAAAATCTATTTCTCCAAATCTGGATGACATCACCGTTGAATTCTTTCCAATGAATCCGGCATAAGAATAACTCTAGAAGTAGTATACGATGAAACCCTCAATATGAATGAGGAAGCCAAAAATTTCACTACTGTACGGTCATCTCGAAAAAAGGGAAGAGCATGTGCGACTGTATTTTCTCATACCTGCTTGACGATCGTATGAACCTATGTGCCTAATAAAATTACATTCCTATTATTATTAGGAATTTCACTTAATAGCTTATAACCGTATAAAATCCCGGAACGGTTTCGGCAACGTCAAGAAATTGCCTTCAGTAAGATATCGAACATTCCTCACTTTGATTACCATCTTTTGTTAACCGTCCCGTCAATAATATGCATGCACTGTACGACTACCCCCGCAAATAACTCGCTAATGTGCAGAACTGCATAGCCGAGGTCATTTCTTTCATACCCATGACACCTAATGGCAGCATTTAGTGCACAATGCGGCGAAAAACTTTTTGGCTTATTCATGCATGGAAGGAACTGACGGCAGCAATCAATGCAAAAATTCTTCATCGCATATGTAACATGATGAAGGCAAACGAATGACGTGCCAAAACTTCGGAGGTCAATCAAAGGCCCGCCTTTTAAAAGTTGTTATGCATGCTAAAAGTCGCGGGAATTTTGAGTCAGTGTGCCGACGAAAAACGTCGTCACTCGTCACCGTGAATTCCGCGATCATCGGACCAAAAAAAAGATAGCACAAAATATTCCAAAGCATGTGTGGGAAAATATTTGAATGGCGGCTGCTCATCGCTTCTGCGATTTTTCTGATTTTCGCCGTCAGACATGTCAAGAGCCAGATAGGTAAACTATTTAAAAAAAAATAGCGAAAGAACGTTTCGATTTTAAATTAGTGATCGTCTTTTTTACTCTTCATGATGGGCAGGGTGTTTTCAGGATGACGTCATGACACCAGCTTTCGTCACGACACCCGGAGGATTCGAGCAATCTCAGTTGTCTGCTTACATTTGTCGGGCATCCTGTAAGCAAATCAAGTACCCATTCGCTGGAATCCAGGAAGGCCAATACTGCCTTTGTGCCACCGAAAATTACGGTAAATATTTCCGGTCAGCTTCCGTTTAGAATTAATGAATTGAAAATAAACTAAAAATAGCGTGTTTACGCAAATATGAGCACCGGCCTAGATTTTTCATGCAAGACTTAGAAAATCCCTAAATGGAAGAATGCATGTAGGTATTTACGCAATTTTCCAGTGTTCTGACGCTACAGGAACCTCAACTTTCTGATTAAATTCAGGTTTTCCCCCGCGCAAAGGAAAAATGGTGTCGCACAATAAGACACAAGCCTTGCTCAACTCCTTCAGTTAATGACTCATTCATCTAAAAGTGCTGAAAGCTGACCATTTCTTGACTGTTGTCAACTTTAATTCGAAAATAACTAAAGAAAAAGAAGGGCTTCATTGTTTTCTGGGCCATAGGCAGGGATATGGACTCACATTTGAGCAAGTTTCATGAGTGAGACCCAAATATACAGATGTCCCAAAATAGGGATGATTCGACTTATGAACAGTTGAAAAAAACCTGCCCCAACGTCCAGACATTGTTTTGAGATACTGAATCTTTCCAAAATTGATTAGAAAATTAAAAATTTCATCCTTCAATATTGTGATATCTCTCAAGAAAATTGAGCTTTTTACATTCACAAAAATTTGACGCTTGGATGGCAGAGAATTCCTGTCCTTTCTATGGCAGAGTTAGGATTTTCCTGAGAGAAGGGCATTTGAGATTGACCAAAGGTCACTGAAATGCCCCAGGTTGGGCATGAAAGCCTAAGTCAGGAAAAATCAGGTTAGTCAATAATCTATTGTCTTTATGCAATCCTGAATGTTGATTCTCATGCTAGGAATGCACAAAAAATGCCATTGAGGAGATTCCAGTGAGGAATTTCTTCTTTTTGAGGAAACATCTTCTGCAGGATTATGAAAGAAATATATTTTTTCCCAACATACCCAGCAAATAATTTGGGCGTTTTAAAACGCGTGGTAAATGCGTTTTAAGCAAAATTTGCCACGCATTTCTGCCCAACCTGAGTTATGCCTATACTCGGGACTTTTGTTGATGAGTTGCAGGTAGGTATTTTGTAACACCCACCTGTTACACATAGCAGGTGGGTATAACAAAAATGACATAGCAAAACGCGTGGTATACGCGTTGCATATGCGTATCATGTAACCCAGAAACCGAATTGCGATTACTTTCTTTTCTCCATATATGGGGAGAGATCCTTCTCTACAAGGTATTCGTTTCCTTGCAGCTGTTCCCCTTTTGTTTTGGTTAAGCTGACCATTTCTTGACTGTTGTCAACTTTAATTCGAAAATA